TTTACATTTGACGGAAGACTAGTTTTTAACATAACATTGAAAAATGAACAATATTGAAAACGTTCTGTTTACTTATAAGCTTGATAAATTGTTATAGAAGGTAGTAGGTACATATATACATATACGTATGTGATAAATTTTCATGTGGTAAAAGTACGTAGATAAACAAAAATGATTTTCAACGGTTTTGCATCCATATAACAGAAAGAAAAACTAGTGGTGCATGGCATCGTGTCTTAAGGCAAATTGCTGAAACTTCCCGTAACAAAAATTATTATTATTTTAAAAACGATTAACATTTTGAAAAAATTTTACTTTAAAATAAATTAATTTTTGAGAAAAAAAAATTACTTTTTTTGAAAAAAAAAAATTTTTTTTTTTTTTTGAAAAAAAAACTGTTTTCTTTAATTTTACATATTTTTGGAAATTCTGAACTTTTTTCAAAGCAATCGTACTGCTTTAACTGCATAGAGACGAAATGTCAAAGCGCGTGAACGCCGCGTTGCCGTCTAACGGATGAACATTGGTACGGAACCCATAGGAATGTAAACAAAATTTATACTTATTGTTAAAATCTCTATAAAATATCTGATAATTTGATGTGCATATGTCTAATGATCATTTTAGACCGCCAAATGGCATTTTTTTTTTACTTTTTTCATTAAATCTCCGAAACCGCTAGACCTGCCTTCATGGAAATTTGATAAATTCTTTATCTTGTCAATACAAGTAAAATGTTTTTTGAATTATTAAAATCGGACGCTCCGTTCTCTTAAAAACTGAGTTACCATTTTTGGCATCCACATACGTACATCCATTTTTCTAAGGTATGCCAAAATATTCAGAAACCTTTGAAACGTAAAGATATATAAAAATTTTCATTTTCGATTTTTTTGCGATTACTATAACTTACCCTACAGGAAGTTAACTAGTGGTGCATAGCATCGTACTTTAAGGTAAATTGCTGGAACTTCCATTAAAAAAACTTGAATTTTTTGTATGCGCCGCTTAGCAGTGTAGCGAAACATTGGAACCCATAGAAATGTAAACAAAATTTGTACTTATCATTACAATCTCTATAAAATATCTGATAATTCGATGTGCATATGTCTAATGATCATTTTTGATCATTGGATCTGCAAAACCGCTGGACTTGCCTTTCCAAAAATTCAATCAGTTTTTCATTTCATCGATACAAATAAAATGTTTATTGAATCATTCAAATCGGACGCTCCATTATCTCAAAAACTGAATTACCAGTTTTGGCACTTTTGTCCCGTATCTTCAAAACTGCTGGACTTGCCTTTGCCAAAACTAATCAGCAAGTCTCCTCGTCAATACGAATCGAATGTTTTTTGAATTATTTAAATCGGTTGATCCGTGTTCACGAAATCGCCGACAATTTTTTTATCCATATATACATACATACATACATACATATATTTATTACACACACACACAACATCGATTTTTTCTAAGGTATGCCAAAATGTTAAGAAGACCTTAAGACGTAAATATCTGTGACAATTTTTATTTTCGATTTTTTGCGATTACTATAACTTGCCATACGAGAAGTTAAAATAAAGATTTTTAACAGATTTTCAATCATATAACACAATGAAAAATAAATTACGATTTTAAAATATTTAATAGACTTCTATGTTTAGTTATAGAGTAATGTTAACATTACTCAATTCGAATTTTAATTAGAATTAATTTCTAATTCTAATGTTATTCAATTTGTAATTTGAAGAAAATTATTATAAATAATAATTGTAAAGAAAATGATAATCAAAAAGGCAAAATTAATTCTATTTTGATATAACTATACCCACATTAATTATAACTATATACGTTGGCCATATTAATTCCAGATTTGAAGAAATTTGAAGAAAAAATATTATAAT